TGAAGTCGGACGCCTAACCAACTGCGCCACCCAGGCGCCCCAAAGAGGACTTTTAAAGAGAAAACAGAACTGCATAGAAATCTAGATGGTAAGATATTCCAAATGTCATGGCCATAAAGACAAGGACATTTTTCGGGGGGTACCATGACTGTCCCTACTGTGCCCCCTAAAAAACTACATAAAATCTTTTTCACCTGCTCTTTGTCTTTAGAAAGCCAGTTCCCACTTAGAATACAGAATTTAATAAACAGTTATTATTTAAAGCACAGTTCTTGAGCATATTTATTTCAATAAGACAAACGAGGCCCTATCTTTCTTATTTGCTACCATTTCTTTCACAAATTTATCTGCCTGGCTGATTTTCAAGTGTAATCCAGAAGCCCAACTTGGCCTAGCTCACTCCTATTAGTTTCAATAGAAGACAAGCATGAAAATAGAGCTTTGTCATTGCTCTCTTGAGCAGATATGAAAATTTGTTACTAATTTGCAGTAATACACAGGGGTTCTCAGGAAAAGAATGAGAAAGAACACTTTCATAAAGCACAATGACACTTGGCTGCAGAGGATGACGAGGAAGAATGAAGTTTCCTGAACCCCATAGCTAAGGTGATCCCCAAATAAGGCAATTTAGTTACCTTGTTATACACATTGAACCATTCCGGGTGGTGATTCATCTTCTCGGCTTGCAGGGCAACTCGGGACATAAAGCCAAATGCCTGCATGAGATGGAACTGAAACTGATTAGTGGCACTGCCCTCTACCCTGGACCTGAGACAGAGAGAGACCAGAGCAATCCAGCCAGATGAAGACAAAGCTAGGATCCTTAGGGAAGCCTGGAGAAATCAAATATGAAAGGGGCTGCTTTCCAGAGAGCTGGGGAATGGTGTAGCAGGACCGTGAACTGCTGCTCAACAGTGAAAAACAATCAGGCTCAAATAAACAAACCAGGAAATTGGTCTCACCCAGTGACCTGTCTGGACTGTTTAATTGTCCTCAGGACAAGACCCTCCAAAATGGCACGGGAATAATTTCCCTTCAACCTAGTGCCCTGGATCTCACTACCTGGATCCCAATCTTATGGGTTACTTTTCCAGTATCACCACTCCTTTTGTTTGGTGACTGGGTTGCAAACTAAGGCATCAACCCCAAGACTATGGAAAAATAACTTCCAAGTGTGTCTTAAGCAAAAGCACTGGCAGAAATGAAAAAACTTCCCCATCCCATTTCCCAGAGAAGACAGGAAAGGATAAAAGACTGTTTTTTGACATCTACAGTGAAACAGGAAAGACTGTCTTGCCTGCTGTGGGTCTTCTCGCTGTTGCCCAGCACGGCCATGAGGAACAGAAAGCGGACCTCCTCGGGGCACAGGGAGGCAGATTTGGCCACAGGCCTAAGTGCAGACCTGCAGGACTCTGTCTTCATACCACAGGGAAAGTGCACACCTAATTGTGCTAAGTGGAAGGCAAACCTGTTCTGAGAGGATGATAAACTTTTTTCCTTTTGCTTGTTTTCCAATTTTTATGAAGACAATCGCTAACAATACGAGGGTCTGTCTCTCATGTGTCCAGAAAGCAGAAATACTCGGTAAGACTCTAAGGTAATGGCACATTAACTACAAATTTATAGAATTCATAGGGCAGTACCCATTGTAGCCACATAAACAAATATTCAATTTTATTACCCATATCCAGAAAATCCAATCTGATATTAGCTGAGCCATGTTTTTCAGATCACCCAACTGACAGAAGAGTGGATTTCCAAGTTAGTGATAAATACAGAAGATGCCATTTTTTTAAAATATGAAATTTATTGTCAAATTGGTTTCCATACAACACCCAGTGCTCATCCCAACAGGTGCCCTCCTCAGTTCCCATCACCCACCCTCCCTTCCTTCCCACCCCCCAATAACCCTCAGTTTGTTCTCAGTTTTTAAGAGTCTCTTATGTTTTGGCTCCCTCCCTCTCTAACCGTTTTTCTTTTTCCTTCTCCTCCCCCATGGTCTTCTGTTAAGTTTCTCAGGATCCACATAAGAGTGAAAACATATGGTATCTGTCTTTCTCTGTATGGCTTATTTCACTTAGCGTTAACACTCTCCTGTTCCATCCACGTTGCTACAAAAGGCCATATTTCATTCTTTCTCATTGCCACATAGTATTCCATTGTGTATATAAACCACAATTTCTTTATGCATTCATCAGTTGATGGACATTTAGGCTCTTTCCATAATTTGGCTACTGTTGAAAGTGCTGCTATCAACATTGGGGTACAAGTGCCCCTAGAAGATGCCATTTTTTAATCCATTCTGTGTCACTCATTATGATTCCTATCACAGAATGATTTTATTCAGGATAAATACTCCCATTTTGATATTAAAGGCCTGAAGGTTTTACCTGTCAGGAAAAGGAAGAACATTCAAGCAAAATCCACTTAACCATGTATGGAATTATTAGTGGAAAACAATATTCACTCCCCTACCTCTTCTCATTTCATAATCTGATTCTCTAGGTTATGTGAGGGGAAGAACAAGTCAAAAGTGAAAGTCTGTTTTACAGGGCACCTGCGTGGCTCAGTTGGTTAAGCACTGGACTCTTGATTTCGGCTCAGGTCACAATCTCATGTTCTATGAGATCGAGCCCCATGTCGGGCTCCGTGCTAACAGCACGGAGCCTGCTCTGGATTCTCTCCCTCCCTCTCTCTCCCTCTCTCTCTCTCTGCCCCTTCCCTGCTCACACTCTCTGTCAAAATAAATAAATAAACTGAAAAAAATCTTATTCAAATACAGAATTAACCTGCATTAAATGATGTATAATGAGAATTTTTAGTCTGTTTGCCTATAACGCTGTACTCTTGTTTAGCTTTAAAAGGCTTCCAAAGTTAAGCACTCCCCCTGAGAGATAGTAATACAGTCATTAAAGGCAGGGGATTTTGAACCAGAAAGTGCTGAATTTAAATTCCAACTCTACAACCTGTCACGTGAGCCTTGGTTCTCTGGTCAGTAAACTGGGGATCATAATAAAAAGCAGTATGTAGTCACCCTAATAAAAATGAGATGGGTGACATACAAGCACTTAGCACAGCTCCTGGCCCCAAGTAAGAGATCAGCAATGGCACACACTGCTACCATGCACTGCTCTGGCCAAAACTGCATATGATAAACCCTACAGAATGCAACGATAAGTGAGAATCATGGTCTTGTAAATCGAAGATTCCAGTTGGTGTCTCCCAGAAGAATGGCATTTTCCTTTTCCCACATGCCATAAATCCCAGACAAATAGAGAATATACTATGGAGTAATACCCTGATGCACAATGACTGAGGAAAACAGCTTAATGATAAGAAATTAGGTGGGCAAAGTCAGTTACCCAACCTCTTAAGCCCTGTGGCCACAATTTCTTTGAACTATGTTACCCTAAAGGTCCAAAGTGACCTTTAGCATCCCTTACTATTTCCAAAGAACCAAGTGGATCAAGGGGATGATTTGAACATAGTCAGAAGCGCTCCTCAAATTTTTAATTACCAGCATGCTCTCAGCATGGTAGCAAAATCTACCCTATAACAGATAGGACTTAAAGAGAATACTCATACCCTAAGAGGTGCACTGACCAAAGAAAAACCTACCATACCTACATACGGCGTAAAAGGGGTGGAAAATAAAGGGCACTTCCAAAGATCCTCCAAATCTGTGTATTCCTCTGCTTTACATATTTCAACTGTCACCTAATATTTGCATTTAATTAAATATCACAAAGCCCAATAAACCATTTACACAGGATCTACTACTAATTCTTCCCTAGGGAGAGAACGCTTGCTTCTGCTCTGGGAGCAAGGAGACAATTTCATAATCCTTCTTCCATATAACAGAACCAAATAATCCCCCAAATATTTTTAAATCCACAAATTAAAAACATGCATAACAATACTCATTCAAATTAAAGTAAAAAGGATTTCTGCAAGGAAGTGAAATGAGTGGAGAGGAAAAAAGCAAAACCTCAAAAGGGAATTCTGATTATCTGGCATTAATAAAGAAGGAACAGGAATAAACAGCAAAACTGGCAGATGGTGAAAAGCATCTGTCCCTTCTTTCTAAGATTTCTTTTTACAGCCCTAGCTATTTGTTACCAGAATGCCAGTTGGAACCTAAAAGCCTTGAGCTAGCTATAAGTACAGGCTTTCTAAAACCATTCCACCAAAGAAAACTGCCAGGAGCCCAAGGCAGAATAGACACCACTAGCAATCCAATGAGAAGCTTAGAGGATAGGTCTGAGAAGATGGACAAAATGAACTAGAAATTGATAAGAGTTTATAAGAATTAAAAATAAGTACGGAAGACAAAGTAGATCTAACATAAAGGTAACTTTTTTGAGTAAGACAACAACAAACACAGAAAGAAATTAGAGATATAACTCAAAAATTTTCCCAGAAATAAAAGATTTAAATCTATTGATTGTAAGAATTCAACCATTTCTACACATCCCAGTGAAGTTAGTGAATTTGAAGACTTAAAAAATCCTTTTGGCATCTAGTCAAAAGGATCAATTCATTTATACAAAGAAAAATAACCTGGCCAACTTCAAACTTCCACGTGCCAACATTTAACACAGAAATCAGAGGACCAATGCCTATAAAGACTTAAGGAAACCAAAGTGCAAAGAATTTTATACCCAACTAAACTGTTGTTCAAATGTAATGCATCCTCTTCATCCTTTCTATGGAAATTTTTATTAAAGGATGAAATATAAGTAACTACCGATGGATGGAAAAACGGTACCAAAGGTACAGACAGTAAGCAACAAACTGACTCAGCTCTAGGAATATATTTACAACAACTGTAGGGACTGTAGTCATGAAATGCAATGCAATGTTATTAACTATTAGAAGAGATGGAAGAAAAGGGGAAGAAATGGAAAAGGTAAATGAAAGTTTAAAAAGTCTGAAAGTTGAAAGATCCAAAGTAGATTTAAAGCACTCAACTAAAAATAAAATGAAACAAAACTGCATGGTGAAGGGAAAGTAGAAGAAAGTAGAAATTCAATTTTGATACTGCTCAGTGGGAATATCACTATCTAAAGAAATGCTATCTAAAGGGCTGCCTGGGTGACTCAATCAGCTGAGCGTCCAACTTTGGCTCAGGTCATGATCTCACAGTTCATGACTTTGAGCCCTGCATTGGGCTCCCTGCTGTCAGTGTGGAACCCAGTTCAGATCTTCTATCCCCCCTCTGCCCTTCTTCCACTGGTTCTTTCTCTCTCAAAATAAATAAACTTAAAAAATAAAATAATAAAATAAAATAAATGTAATCTAAAGAAATAGAGGATACAACGGGGAAAAACTGAGAGCTTTTTCCCTGAGATCAGGAACACGACAGGGATGCCCACTCTCACCGCTGTTGTTTAACATAGTGCTGGAAGTTCTAGCATCAGCAATCAGACAACAAAAGGAAATCAAAGGCATCCAAATTGGCAAAGATGAAGTCAAGCTTTCGCTCTTTGCAGATGACATGATATTATACATGGAAAATCCGATAGACTCCACCAAAAGTCTGCTAGAACTGATACATGAATTCAGCAAAGTTGCAGGATACAAA